GTAGGGAAACTGGCTCATACAGCCTTTGGGAGCAGCCACAACCCTGGAAAGCCAAAACTGTGCTGTAACCACCACCGGTCCCCAGAGGAGAAGGTGAGGTTTGGTGAGAACGAAGCAAAACACCTGGTTTCCATCACCATTTCCCTTCTCCAGTGACAAGAGAAGAGAAAGCAAAGGCTGAAGAAGATGTTCCCCCACGACTTGGGCTGGGGACAGGCAAAAAACAGTGGGTCTCTCCATGGCCAAATGCAAGGGGTGCATGTCAGCACCCCAACCCAACCCAGCTCAACCCAATTCCTCCATGTCTTAAACACATCCAAGACTTCTCCTGGTAGCAGACACAACTTCGCTGCTTCAGATTTGGGCAAGTGCAACCAGATACCACCTGCAAACCATGGAAGAGAAGCCCCAGCGCCCCTGCCCACAGTAGATGCTGCTCCCACTCCCACTCTCCAAACCCGCTGTGTTTTTTGCTTCTCCTTGCACTGAGCTCACGCTCCCCATGTCCAGTCTCTGCTTCTGGCCATGGGCTGCTCCGTGTCTCCTACACCAGCGCATCCTTTCCCATCCAGCTGGTCCCCATGGCTGAGGAGGAGCTCCTCCTTGTCACCATCAGGCTCCTTCCCTGCCCTCCATCCTCACCAGGTCTCTCTGGTTTAAGCTACAGCCACCAGCCCCAGGTCCTGCTGTGGACACGGTCACGAATGACTCCTCTGAGGTGCGAAGTACAAAGTACATCTGGGGAAGGAGCCACCATAGAGCCAAGACAGTTTCCCATAGTGGTGTGTGAGTTTTCTGCCTGCTCGTTTTTGCCTTCAGTATAAAAAATGATGACAGAGGCGATCACTCCTCTTGGACTCCTCAGGGTGGCTTGAAAAGAGCCACACAAAGCTTTGGGGTGAAGGAGCCCACAGCGAACATTGCCCTTCAGGAGACCTGCCCAGCTCCTCTCCATCACACCAACAACTGCCTGAGCAGACGTGTCAAAAAGGCTGCGCTCGCTCGGACACCCGATACAGGCAGAGCATCCTCTCCTCTGCGGGCTGGCAGCGGGACCAACCCTGGTGGTGACCTCTGGGGCCACCAAACCCATCAAGACTCATTCACCCCGCCAGCCCGGCACTCACCGTTCTCCTCCGACCGCTCTGCTGCTGGCGTCGCCAGGAAAAGAAAACAGCACAAGTAAATGAACGCGCGTGCCCACGCTGAGCAGCCAAATCACCTCAGTGTTTAGAGACTAACAGAGATGGCAGAGTCTGGCCATTCTAAGGGCACTCTGGTGGGCTGGGGATGGACCTTCTCCACCAACACTTTGACCAAGACTGGGCTGTCCCTGCCCAGTGCAACCTGCGCGGTTGTGAAGCCGCCGCCCAGGTTTGTTCTGCCCCAGGTCCCAGCAGCCACAGCACCCGAAGAGAGGAGGAAAACCCTCGCCTACGAAACCAGGTGAAGGCCAACTCCCAGCAAGCATGACCCTTCGGATGCCAGGGCAGGGATGACACCGGCAGGTTCACATGGCCACCAGGACCAGACCCGCAGGGCACAACCGAGTCCACACCCGCAGAGGCCAGTGGTGGGTTTGGGGTCAGGACTGATGACCACCTTTTTCCATGCCATCATTGTACAGGCTGTTCCCAGCCACCTTCAGAAAGCAGTACCCTTGGGACACAGCCAGTCCTTGGACAAAGAGGAAAGTGAGCTCAGCACAGCTCCTCCCAGGGAGCTACATCCAAGAGGGGATGAGCCACATTCATTCACTGCCTTCTCCACTTTCCTGCTGTGGTGAGCATCTTCCCAAACGGCCAAGAGTCACAGCTCTGGTTCAAGGCTCCCCATGAGATGGCTCCTATAGCTACAGCGTCCATCCAGACCCAAGAGCTACAGCAGGACTCTACAGACCACTCTGCCCCCAAGAAGGCGTCCCCCGCACCCCAAAACCTCTCGCACTTACTGCAAATGGGTGGTATGGAGCAGCCGCCGCAGCCCCTCGGGACCCTGGGGTGGATGGGAGCATGGACAGCCCCGTCGAGAAGATGCCCAAAGCGCTGAGGTTCAGTCCTGGGATCAGGTTGGCTTGTTGCTGGGAAAGCAAAAACACGGAAAAATGTGTAAAAGGCCAAGTACGGTTTTTGGAGTTCTCACCATAGTGTGGACATGATGGGTGAGGGCCAACCCTTGCCATGACAGACTGACAACCCCCAAGTTTTCTTGTGGCCACCTCAGCAGTGGCTCTGGAGCAGGGACATCCCAGACGGGGGGCTGGGAGCTTACGTTGACCGCCACCACATCGTTCTCGTAGGCCTCTCGCAGCTTCTTCATGATCTCCACTTCGGCATTGGAGCACGCCTCCATGCTGCCCTTCACCGTGATGGTCCGCTCGGGGTTATAAATGGTTAAATCCTGCAAACTAGCCCAAGGACAAAACTCGAGAGGACGTTACATACAAAAAAAACCAAAGGAAAACAAATAAAACATGAGGGTACCCCCCAAGACAGTGTGGGACCACGCACCCTCTCCCTGCCCAATGCCACCATCCAGCAGGGATGGAGAACGTGTATGGGAGGACACAACTGCTGTTTCTGGCCCAAGCGCTGCCTGTACCGTGCTGGATGGAGGGGGATGGCTTGGTGTTCACCAGGACTTACGGGGAGATGGTGATCTTCGTACCCGTGTCCTGCTCGATCTTCTTGAGGTTGCGGCCCTCCTTGCCAATCAACCTCCCCACCAGACTGTTGTGTGCTAGGATTTTCAAGGGAATCTCTTCTGCTCTAAAACAGATTAAAAAGTAAAATCTAAAGGTCTGTCTGGCCAGGAAATCAATCTCCAGGAAGGGTCAGCAGCGATGTGGTGGAAGAACCACCACCACCACTGTATCTCCTCAGCTTCTGGTGAACGGGACATCAGAGACCTCCCAAGCCTCACGGTACAACTGTATCTCGTGGGGTTTTGTTCTCCAAGTTTTCCTGAACGCTCTTTGGACTCACCTGGTCTCCACGATGCTGTCAACCACATCACAGAGAAGTTATTAAGTTGTAAGCCATTAACTAACCCATGACTCTATCCTGAACCTCCAAATGCCAGCGGTTCCCTCTGGGGACGGGGGTGACAGAAGACGACTTCCTCACCACTGATGGCTGAATTTACTTCCCTTCCTCCAAACCCACCCGTTTTGGTGAGCCAGGGGTGCTGACTATCGCACTCACGATTTAGTTTCATCGGCCTCCTTCTGCATGATATCAAGGATCATGCGACATGCTTCGGAGCAGCCCTCTGGCGTGGCATGGATGGTGATGGGCTTTTCGGCAGCACCAGCGTTCTCCTTCCGATGGATGTCAACCCTACGGAGAAACAACCAGCAGAGGAGCCCCCTGAGATGCGGCTGGTGTCACACAAAGGCTTTTGAGAGCTCAGGAGCTGAGCTGGCTATTCACCAAAAAAGCTCATTTCAACACCTGCTCAAGCTTTGGGGTGAACCTGGGTCTCGCTGACGTACATCTACTATCACCTGGAGTCATGCAAGCCCAGGTAGCATTTCACTTCAGTTGGTTCGGACCAGACTTGAGCTACATTCACCTTTATGACCCGATGTCAAAGGATGCATCAAGAGCGGGCAGAACAAATCCTCAACTGGACAAAGCCCTGAGCAACCTGGTCTGTCACCTCTGATGCCAGTCCCGCCTGGCACAGGAGACCACACAGGAGGTCTCCAGAGGTCCCTTCCAACCTCCACCTCTCTCTGTACAACACCCGAGGCTGTCCAGCAACCAGGAGCTGCCACAACCGCTGCGTGTCCTTCGCGACAAAGACAACTTACCCATCAGCAGCGTCTGTCACAACGCGGAGCACGCGTCAACAGCGCTTGTACTCACGCCCCTCCGCGGGAGACCAGAAAGCTCTCCCTTGCGCGGCGACAGGGACCACGCTCTGGCTCCTCTGGTCCTCCCGCAGCCCGTGGCGGGGAGGAGGCACACACCTCCAGCTCACTCCTCACTGCTCACCTGTACCTGGCAAAGGCCCTGAGAGAGAGGGAGAGAGGAAAGCGGGGTAGGAGACTCCTCACGTCAACCACGCGCCCTAAACAACATGGGTAAGCAACCTTTCCATCTTCTGCACAGGAGTCCATGGGCTCTTCCCACCGGAGGGTGATGCCACGCAGCCATCCTGCCATCGGTCACCACCTCAAGGGTCCCCATCACTGCTGTGGCCAGAGCTGGGCTGGCCCAGATCTTCCAAGAAGGTGCAGCAGTGGCCGCTGGGCCAGCCAGTGAATGCCACCAGCACTCAGCTCCAACACGGTGTCCTCTGGCCACATCTGTTTATGCAAGAGGTCTCCCTCCTGAGCAGGATCATTCATGGGTACTGCTGTGCGTGCAAGGCCAAGGGCTGTGGTGCAAAGTCATCCCTAACCAGCACCACGTTTGGATGCTGCAGGCCACGGTGGGTTTGCACAGGTCAACTGTTGCAGGAGCTCATGAACCAGCACATAGAAGAGGGACACTTAATCTACAGGTAGATGGGAAGCACCTGGGTGAACCTTCCCTGAGATATGGAAAGATCCTTACCCCATCAGCCTCCAAAGGGACCTCACAGTGGTTTTATCTGAGCATTGACGAGGGAATCAGCACAGAGTTTAATCCCCTTTGCAGGTGACATCACTCCAGATCTCCTACAGCTTCAGCCAGAGCTGCTTGGGCAGGGGACCACTCCTGCTCAGACTGTGCAGAGGCACTGGCACCACCAGACTCTCCCAGCCCTTTGGTGTTGTCCACAGCACACAGTGACCCAGCTGCACAATGCCACTCGCCGGTGACGCCCTCTAAAGCGCTCCCAGCTGAGGAGCTCCAGCAGGCTGACTTGGATGATGTGTTCCTTCAGGGGCAGTGCCCAGCAGGTGTGGGGACACCCCACCGCCACCCCTTCCACCAGGGAAAGCCATCACAACATCCCACAAGAGGCGATAACAGGCCCATGCTCCGAAGTGGTGCCGTGATGTCATACCAGGTTGACCAGGTCCCCCAGCTGGGGGGAACCGATGAGGAACCCATGGCTGCCCCAAGAAACCCCACAGACAGGGACCAGGCAGCTCCTTGAACCCATGTGCAGGTGAGGCTGGTGGAGATGGGGCACGGAGCCAAACCCCTGTACCAGCGAAGGGCCAAGAGCCACGGATGGGCTGAGCAGACGCGCCAAAATGATGAGAACCCTGGACAAGCCTGGGAGCGGGACACGGGCCAGGTTTCTGGCTGACCTCCAACCCATCCCAAACCCGGATGTGCAGGCACGAGCTCAATTTGCAAAGAGAAGATGGGGAAGCCAGGAAAGGGCTTCTGCATTCAGGCACGTCCTGCCCTGAAGAGCTGGTGGATGGAAGACAGCTCTGGACTTCCCAGCACATCCCAGTGCATCTCCAGCCCCACGGGAGGATGGAGAAGGGGACCCTCAACCCCTTCATCCCATCAGCAGCTGCCTGGGACCCCAGACACATTATAGATGCTGGGAAGGCTTCAGAGAGCTGTGGCCATGAAGGACAGCCCTCTCAAGGTGGACAGTATAATGTGCACATAGGGTTATCCTGACACATGGCTGCTCAGTAGCAATGGTCCTCTCTTCATCAAGTTACAAGGGCTGCAGTCACTGTGGAAGGTCATCTGGTGCAGTGTGCTCTTGGTCTGGGGTCTTCCTCAGCAAAGGAAGAATATGGCTCAACCTGGAGACAGCTTTGTCCCCTGGAGCTCAGGAGCATCTCTGGGCATCACTGTGTGTGGAGACACAGGCAAAGTCTTATGTGACCAGGGGAATCCAGGACCCAGCATCATTCTGGTAGGAGCAGGGGCCAGGCAACAGATGTCACCAGGTCCTCCTTGCCCATGGCTGGAGTGGAGGTGGTGGCCCACCACGGCACGTGGCCTCCTGAGCCAGGTCAGGAGGGGTGAAAGCATGAAGCACGACCTTCCTCCACAGCACCAAGTCTTCGCAGCAGGCATGGGGAGCCAACCCACAAGGAGGGACAGCTTGGTGGCAGAAACTGCCCCAGTCAGCAGCGTTTAGCCTCATGGCTGGGAGAAACCAGCAGCCGGTGCCTCCCACCTTCACCAGGCATGGGGCAGGCAAAGGGTGACCTTCCAGTCTTGAGTGGCAAAGACACAGCTACACACCAGGGCACTCACCTGGAGAAGAAGGGCTTGCGGCCAACCGGGACCGGCTCACGGCTACTGGTGGCCATGCTCTAGGGCCAGCTGGGCTCGAAGAGCTCCTCTCCCTACATGTCTGCCCCCTTTCTGTACAAACCTCTTCCTGCAAACCCAGCGCCGGGGTTCGGCTCGCTCAGCGGCAGAGCAGCGCATCTCGCTACCTCCTGCTCAAGCAGGCGTGCTATTACCAAATAATTTGCCTCTAAAAACTTCTCTGAGCACTAGGAGGCCTGGGAAGATGTTCTGGTACAGGAGTCCTACGTCCTGTGGGACCACTGGGTTCAGGATGATGAGCATGGGAGAAGACAGCTTTGGGTTAAACACAAACAAATCTGGGCAGGAACAAACCATGCAGAAAAACCACGCAGAAAATCAGTGGTGAAAGCAATGTGAACATTGACAAGAGTAACATGGAAAACTTTGGCAAGACACTCCCCATATTTTTTTCTTTTTCTTCAAAAATAAAAATGTTAGATAGCAAAAAAAAGGCTTCCAACAGTTACAAAAAGCCCATCCTTGTCAAGGCAGCGCTCTCACTGTGCCCCGTTTCCCCCTGCATTGTCTCTAGCCCATATGGGACACTGCAGGATGAGCAAACCCTGAGAGCAAAGACAATGTGGGCCACTGGCTGCTGTACCTAGGATCTCCCTTCAGCATTTTATCCTCAAACTTGCCGTTTTGCCCTACAGCCTCCTCCCCAGCCATTCTTGTGATCAGGCTTTAGAAACCCATTTCTGGCCACACCCAGACCCCCCCAGCCAGCAGGAACAGTTTAGGACATGGGCTCTGCCACCATCCCATGAAGGCTGCACCCCAAGAAAACAGCACTGGCCCTCAAAAGCCCCGAGTGCACGGAGAGCCCATGCTGGGGACCTACAGCACCCTATGGAAGGAAACAAAACCATTCGAGGTACTTACTTGGACTGGGTTTGCTTAGTAAGGTTCTTTATGGTCAAGCCCTCCTTTCCTATGATCGCACCAACAAACTGCGTGGGCACCAGCATCCGCAGTGGGAAATCGAGCTGTTTGGGCTGCGAGGAGCCCCCCGGGGAGGAGCCCCGCTCCCTGGAAGAGTGGCCCCCGCGGCGGGATCGCTGTGGGGGCGGAGGGGAGCTCACCTCTTCATCCGGGATGTAGGAAATCTTGAAGGAATAGTTCTCAAACTGGTGGCCACTCAGCTTCTCAATTGCTCTGCAAGGCAGGGAGAGGCGGGGGGCGGTGAGGGGCTCACCAGGGATGGGTACATCTCCAGAACATGCCCTTGCAGGCCACAGTCCCTCCCCAGTCCTGCACCTTCCTCTCTCCCCAGTCTGGAAAAGGTGGCCACTTGAAGCTGGAGCCCCTCACTTTCCCCATGAAGAGCAAGCCCTGTAGAGTGGTGGGATGATGTCCCCTCCCAAGTGGGTGACACCAGGGCTGGGGCACATCTTGTCTCCCCCAGCAGAGGTGGGACACCAGCCTGGGGATCTGGCACTTCACCTGGGGAAAGCGCTGCCCAGAAGCTATCACACAGTATGGAAATGGTCTCATGGGCTTTCTGGACACAGAAAAGGTGACAGAGGGACTCTGAACAGGAGCTGCCACTGCAAGGAGAAGGACACAGCACGTGGTGCCCTTCTATCGGGAACCCCAACTCCCTTTCCAGCTCGGTGAGGCTGGGGGTGCAGGACCTGGACTCTTCATCCCCCCAAGCCCCATCTCGGCAGTGCGATGCTGTTGTGCCGGAGCCTGCAATGACCTCTGCAAATGGTGATGGCTTCAGCTGTGCTGAACTTCACATCCAGTGAGGACTTCTGCAGCTTCACCATCCTTTTCCAAAATCAACACAGTGCCCTGCAGTCTGATTCCTCTGTCAAGGTCTTCCTTTTACCCAGTCCTATGATGATGTGCTCTAAACCAAACACACATCCCCACGAACCACCTTGACCTTTCCTCACATCGCTCGCTTCTGTGTTGAGCTGCTGAGCACCACCCAAGACAGGCGTCAGTCCAGCTGGATGCAACCCATCACAGCATCTTTGCTAATCCCGGAGACTCCTACCCAAAGCATCAAGCACTTCTGTGTTGGTGAGATTCTTCAATTCTTGCCACACATCCCATAAATGCTGTGTTTATCTGTGGTCCATGGCACCTTCCCTTCACCTCCTGGCAACCAGCTAACTCTGGCCAGAGACGCTGGACCACAGAGCCTGGCTATGGCTACCCCAGCTGGCGCAAGGTGAACTGTCCTCTGGCCTCCTGCACCAGCAGACAACTGACCCCATCTCCGTCCTCACAAGTCCAACCCCATGATGGGTCAACTCAGATGGGGAGTTGCAGGGATGTGCATCAGCAAACGGACTCTGGCAAAGGCTCTTCCTTGCATGGAGTCACATCAAAAATACCCCGGCCATAAGTACATGTGCTTATTGCTTCCTCACAGCCAACTTAAGAGTGGTCTCCAGCACAGGGCTGAAGTTTCGCCAATCCTCTAACAAAGTGCTTTGCTTGAAATAGTCCTTGTGTTTCTGAAATAACACCTAAATTGTGGGTTTTTTTCCTCTGCTGGCTATGATAGAGCTTTAGGCTTGCCTTCCCACAGCCCTACAACGCTGATGCACAGCCTTACCAGGTTCTTCCATCCTTGTGAAGTTTTTCTTGATGGGGGGCGTTACTTTACAACTCCTCTGCACAGCGTATGGGTGATTTACTCTCTGCTGCTCTCCCTCCCCTGCAGAAACCAGCCATGGAACCCTCACCTCCCTCTCACCTCCTCTGACCACTTACTCGTCCACCCAAAGGCCCTCTCTCTTGTCCACGGCAGAACTTTCCAAAAACCTTTCAGAAGTCTATCAGCTGGTTTCTCTGGGATCCAAAAAGCAGGAAGTGAGAGTCCCTGAACATTTTGGTCTCTAACTTGAATTTTCCCCAGATGGCAGGGGGATACTTGGATCTCCCATCATCACTGTGCTTCCTCACCACCTCTCCCACCTCCTCCACCATATTCCACCTCTTCAGCAGCTCAGGCTGGCTGGTTGTACTGGTGATTAATCCACTGCATTCCTAGTTTAGGTCTGGACTTCCAGCCTGGGAAGATGACTCCTTGACCGACTGCTTATCTAAACTGACCCTCAGCTTTCTAGAGCGCTTTGCTCCCCGAAGACAAGGCCACGGTGACCCTGCAGAGGACCCTGAAGGACAGTGTCCAAAGGGAACTGCAAGATGGCACATCTGGGAGCCCCTCGGAAACAAGAGGAGAAGGCACAGAGGAAGAGGGGACAATCACATGGCTGATGGCCCCAGGCTGGTCCAATGGATATGATGGGGTACCATGAGAAACCCCATCTCCCATGCGAAAGGAGAAAGCAAGAGACCACCCAGTGGTGAGGTGAGGAGGAGAAGGTGGAGCTGACTGCTGGCAGAAGGCATGGGAGGTGACACAGCTCCAGATAAAACCAACATCTGCCAACTGTATCTCGAGAAGATACAAAAATGGCCCTTAAGGCACTTGAAGCTTACACTGTAAGAGCTTAGAAACAAAGCAAGGAGGCTTAGGAAGAAGACAAGAAGCCTGGAAAAAACAGCCAGGTGAAAATACCTGGGATTCCTCAGGAAAACTTTGGGTGGTGTGAGAATATGGAGAAAATGAACTAAAACTCACTTACACTTTTGCTTCTTCTTTAGTTGCGTACGTTACGTTGACAACGGCTGTTTCTGTGTCTGTGTTGACTGGGGGAAAAGCAAGAGAAGGAGCATTAGAGCAGGGGAGGAGGGAGGTGTCACCACTGCTCCCAGCACCCCCAGTACGCCCTGATGGTGGTGACAGTGGGAGGGCAATGCCTGTCCCCGGGGGACGGCCACTGCACAGGGTGCATGCTTGTGCATCGTTGTATTCTCCCCCCGGCACAAGGGATGGGGTTGGGCTGGCAAAGAAGGTGCCAAAGCTGGGTCATGACACCCTCATCGAGGAGGATGCACAGTGGGACATCAGTGATCCACCAGCAGACCCCAAACAACACTCAGATTGCTTTTACTGCAGTGACAATGGGGTTTTCAAGCCCTGGGCATGGACTTAAGGCCACCGCCATCCCACCACTGGACGGGTGGCCCCACCTCTGCCAGCAGAACCTGTGTCTGTGGGGAAAGCCATTTCAGCCCAGTACCCAGGACCAGGTTTCACCCCACTGGATTTTCTCTGGTGTGGGCAGAGCTGGGAAGCGGTGCTGGGGCTTCTGCAGATGGGGACCACAATGCTGGACCATCTTACCTTGCTCTACATTCTCCACTGTCCCATACTGAGCTAAGAGGCCATCCAGCACCTGGGGGACAGAGCAGCAAAGAGGGCAGGTGAGGAGGGTAGGGAGCAGGCAGGGAGCAGAGTCTGCTTCACACATAGACACCCTGCAAAGAGCCAGCACCACCCAACTGCTTAAACGTCTTTGCCCACCTGCATCCCAATATCCCAATGATGCCCAAAGTCGCCCCACTGCTCCAGGACCCACGAGCAGGCAGGAGATGGAGCCCAGTTCATGCTCAACCTCCCTCCTGGGGTTACTTGGAAGGTAAAGGGCGGCCCAGGCGCAGACCACACGCTCCAGCAGCACTGCTTGTGCTGCTTGGCAGGACTGATGGAGGAGGAGATGTTTTTACGATCGTCTGCTCCTTACCTCCCACTGCAAGTGCGGGGGGATGTTTCTGATCTGGATCTTCCTGCTCCTGCAAAGACAAAGCCCCAGGTTAGGGTCTTGCAGCAACATTGCAGCACGAGGGCGAGGGCTTTCTGGGAATCAGATGGCAGCTGGGGAGAGCTTCCCAAAGAAGCATCCCACTTCCCAAAGCATCCTGCTTCCTTGCACTGGGCTGGAGCAGCTCAGCCCCAGGGAAAGCCATTCCTCCTTCCAGCCTTGCCCTGGTCACCTTCTGCTGGGGCCGAAGCTGTCTCAGAAACGCTTCCTCCTCGTGCTGGCTGCCGGGTTTCCAAGGAAACCTCCTGAAAGGAGCCTCTGCAGAGCCATGGTGCGCTGGCACAGCCGGAATGAACGCACGCCCCTGACCGCACTGCCCGGGCTGGTCGGCTGTGGGGGGACAGGACGGGACCCCGAGACCCACCATGACCACTCCAAAGGTGCATCCAACTGACATCCACTACTTCCCAGCAACATGGGGCTACTTTCCACGGGGAAACCTAAATACATATCCTCAGAGCCCTGCCCTTGGAGATGGCCAGCACATTCAACCTTGCCTGGTTGTGCTCCGAAGTTCACATGGTTGTACACCCAATTCCACACGGTTGAACACCCAACCTCGCCGCGGTACAGCCTTGGGGCATGGATGCTAAGGAAGCACTGCAAAGGCTTTCCAAGAGGTAATGACCACCAAAAACCGTGTTTGGAGACATGTTTGGTCAGCGGGGAGTTTTGAGACACTTGAGTCCATGGAGGATCCAGCCAAGCCATGAACTCATCCACCGTTCACCCAGACCAGCATTCACCGCTTATGATGGACAACCATTTGCCTTGTGAAACATGAATCTGGGGTGCAGCATGAGCAGCGTGACTGTAAGGATGCTGGAGAACATGTACAGCAACCTGCACAGCAGATACAATGCAGACTCCAAGAGTGAAAGGGATGGCAGGAAAAGGACATTTCTTGAGATGCAGGCTGCGAGGGCAAGACAAAATCCATGGTCAAGCAAGGCAGCCAAACAGAGCTATCTCCTGGTGCTGCTCAAACAGGCATGGTCAGTGGTGCCATCAGCACTGGACAACAAAGCCTACATGCTCAGTAACACCCTGTGTGCGTTTGGCAGCCGGCTGCCCCTGCTGGATCCTCCTCAGCCCTTCTCAGCTCTGAAAGCTCAGGACTGGCCTCTCCTCACTGGCAGAGCAAGCCGGACGCACTGCCCAGTTACTTCTCCCACCTTCTGGTCCCAAAACAGAGCTGGTGGCACCTTCATCGGCCTCACCCCAAGATGCCACCGCTCAGCTGCAAGCCAACGCATCGCTACGACCATCCTCCTCCTCCTGCAGCTCATCCAAGCGAAACCACGACACTGGAACCCTTGCCACTGTGTTGGGAGTGACTCTAGAAAAACTCTGCCTTGACTTGAATTGCACCAGGGCATCATCTCCCTCCACCTCTGCCAAGGGAGATGTCGGGGCAGCCCTGGTCCCCTAAGGTGCTGCATCACCCCTCCATGTTGCTCGCCTGCCTCCCAAAACACCCAAAGAGAAGGGCCACAGCAAGTTGCCAACTAACCCCACTTCTCGACAGGACACTACTGCATATTCTCACTTCCAACATCCATCGGAGCCAATGCAAAGCATCTAAAGGTGCCCATGCTGTGCCCAAAGCTTCACCCCCACCACCTGGCAGGTCCCCCCAGCAGCTCATCATCACCACTCAATATTTAAAATGAGGGTATTGCTCCTCTTGGGTGTATTTTTTGGTAGCTCTGGTAATTCTCCACTGGGCTGAAGTGGTGCTGGACCACGTGTGGTCACCACACATGATCCCGGGCTACGATGGATGTGGGGCTGGGGCAGGGACCATGTGTGGTTCCTGCAGAACAGGAGAGCAGAGCTCAAGGCCGCTCTCCTCCAACACCACTCCTGGGGAGAGTCTGGGGCAGAAAACCCCTTTATTTTTATTTCCCTCATTCCTCCCAAGGACAAAACACGCAGTGGCAACCGAGCATCAGCCCCAAGTGCTAAAGAAACCAGATTTAGAGAGCTTCACCTGCTTTTTTTAACCTTCTAAATTCAACCCAAACCAGTCCTGCTCACTACCAGCTATTCTTGCTGACGACCATCAATGAGAGCTTCACGTGCCACATGCCAGGCACCTGCACTTGCTGAAATCAAGCAATAAAACAGAAGATGCCTTTAAACTTGCAGAGCATTCCCCAGAATTGGGTGCATTGGAGGTTTTTTGGCACATCTCTCCCCCTTTCAGCAGCCCAGGTTAGCAGCAGCACTGACACTGTTTCAGGGCTACTCCTCCTGTAGCTCCCAGAGGACTACAAGTGAAGCCATAAAGGGATTTTATCACCTCCTTCCACCCCAGATCGGTGCTGAGGGCAGGAAAAACACTGTCCAGCAGCTCCTGCATTCATTAAAAATCAGTTTTCAAGAGAACTGGGGAAAAAAAAGAGATGGAAAAAGTGCTGGAAACCAACCACCTCCTCAGCAGCCCTGCTCGCTTTAGGAAATGCTTGTCACATGCAAGAAAATAACCTACAGAAAAGCGACGCTCATCGCCAGGCGGGGTCCACACTCGGTCCCACCTGAATTTTTCAGAACCAGTGACTGGGAGCATGAGATGGACACACTCCCCTAACCAGGCAAAGAAAGCATCTGTTGCTGTTGCCCCTCCTGATGATTATATGCATTTTTTCAGTGTATCGGGGCCATCCTCAGCAAGTTTTGCCGTCGCCCAACCCAACCCAGCAGCGGATCTTGATGAGCAGCGGCTCCGTCAGTGCTGGGATAAGCATTAAAGAGCTGCCCCAGTTTCAACCAGTTGCCAAGAGCGTGGCGGATGTGTCTGCTCCAGTTCCCCTCCCTGACGCTCTTAAGGAATTAAAACCCCTTCACGGTAAAGCCCTGTGCTCTTCCGCGGGCCCAACCTGCCCAGGGATGGAGCGGGGGGGGAACAGCAAGGATGCACGTGATGGTACAGCCCTGGTAGCTGGGGGGGTATTAACAATAGGGATGAATGGGAAATAACATCCCATCTGTCGGAGCTTGGGGGATTAACGGGGGAGAAAAAGAAAGGGGGGAAAAGAAAGAACAGGAGCCGGTGCAGGCTGGGCATCAACAGGGCAAGTGCAAACCACTGAGGAACTGTAAAACCATAGCATGGCAAAAATAATGGGTAATTAATGATAAATATTCATCTGTTATTCTGCTTGTGGCTTTGGTCTCCCCCCAGCACCTTCAAACTCAGAGAGGCTTCACGGTGGTACCAAGGAGCATCCCTGCACGATATGGCACAGCCTCGGTCACCTCCCTGCATCCTCCATGTTCTGTCCTGCACCCCCAGTGTCACCCTGCTCCCATCCCCAATATGACGCCGCTCCCATCCCCAGTGTCACCCTTCTCCCATCCCCACATCCTGGCGGGCAGCACAGAACCACTCAAAAAGGTGACTAAAGCAAATGAAAACAACTCAAACGCCACTCAAATGCTCCCAGTTTACCCAGACCAGGAAATAAATCAAATAAAACGAGGGTCGGCGTCACACCTAGACATAACACATCTGTCTAGGAAAGGGTAGGCTCCAGGGGGTTTCTCCCGGCCAGATCCATAGGGAACAGCATCTGAGACCTATGGAAACTGCAACGCACCCAGCGGGCAGCAGGAGGGGGCTTCTCTATGCCTGATGTGACCAGCATCGTCCTGGCAATGTCATATTCATGTATATTCATACACAAATATATACAGGTAAAAGCATCTTTTAAAAAAGAATATATATATATTTAAAAGTGCCTTTTTAATATATTTTAAAGTGTCTTTTTAATATATTTAAGGGTGCCTTTTAAATACAGAGTAAAAATGTCTTTTTATAGATAGTAAAAATTTATATAAATTATATATAGTACACTTAAATAAAATCATAGAATCATAGAATGGTTTAGGTTGGAAGGGCCATAACGTGACTTTTATTTACACCAAAGATGCTAAATGCTTTAAATACTAAAAGATACATTATTTCTTTATGTAAATATAAAAGATACTAAAAGATATTAAATACATATATATATTTAAAACCTGGGCCAGGACCGAGAGCAGCCCCACTTGTCGCTCTCCGAATTCCATCTGCAAACCAGTGTAACCCACCGCACCCCACACAAGAAAGTCTCAAGTTTAATTCTCTCGGCAAAGCAAAGCAAACCCTCCCCATGCCATGGCCAGAGAAAAACCCCCAGTTCCTCTAATTTTATTTTCAAGTAGAGATCTTTTCTTTTTTAAGTAAGAGATATTAGACCTGGAGAGCCCCGGGAGCGTTTTTTCTGCTCCTTGTGTGTATTTACGGACACAAATCAGTGCTGGTGGCTTTTCCTGACAAAGCAACTGGTTCACACGAGGGTCTCCTCTCCCCTAATTACGCATCTCATCGATGGCGAGCAATTAAGAAGGAAATAAATGATGGGCTGTCCACGAGGAGACAAAAAAGGCTTCTATATTTATTATTGACTTAATGTCACCAGCATTTGGGGTTTAAAAACAAAGAGAGTGGGGAAATAGAAATAAATAAAGCCAAAATATGTGGAAACAACAATTTAACTTATGCTCGAGGAAATTTAAGGATAATTCCTTCTGAAATAGGGATAAAACCCTGCACATCCCATAAATTCAGCAAAGCTGCTCGGGTGAGAATTTTCAGCACTACCCCTCCAGTGACCGTGGTCCGGGACAAAATCACCCAAGTTTGGTCATTTATTAAAACAGCAAAAAATATTCTTGTTTTTATTTTTACGTTTAATATTTGAGAGATTTCCGCTCAACTGAGCTCCCCCTCCACACTCTCCTTGTGCTTTTACTTCTCACTGCTGAAAGCGACAGCAGAAGCAGAAATTAAAAGGCACCTTTACAATTGGAAACCCGAAAATTTCACAGGTTTGGAGACGTTACATGGGGCTTTGCTACTTATTAAACTCATCATTTTTATCCAGCCCTTGTATAAAAGTCAGCACGGGGGTGGTTGGGATTTCC